TTACTGTCCTGCCACAATACTAATCCTAAGGCAAAGAATTTCTATTTTAATGGATGTGAGGAAAAGCAATTGCATTTCTATATTTATTGATATTAGGAAAACACTTCAAAACATGAAAATCTTTGGAATTTCTAGTTCATTTGCGGGGAGGGGCTTATTTACAAACTCCTAATGCATTACAGTATGGTACTCTTATGTAAACATCTTCAGAGTGAAATATATTAGAATGCATCTTGTCCTTTTTATCAGAAAAGGCTTTGGAAGATGTTGATGGTCTGTAGTATTATATCCTTTAATGTTTTTTTAAAATATGTTTTTATTGATTTTAGAAAGAGAGGAAGGGAGAGAGAGAAAAAAAACATTGATGTGAGAGAGAAACTGATCACCTGCCTCCGGTAAGCACCCTGACCAGGGATCGAGCCTGAAATCCCGGATTGATGCTGAATCAGCTGAGCCGTACTGGCCAGGGCTATCCTTTAATGTTTAAAGGACTGAATTTTGGAGTGGTTCTCTTTGTCAAAAAGTTAAAATTAAGTTAATTTTAAAAATGTAAGTGTTATTGATTGGAAAATATTGTGTATATAAGTTTCTGTGTTTTAAAGGAATAATACACGGAAACTCCTAAGCTAGGAAACTAACTTAGAAGACTTGCTGCCTACATATCCTAGTCTAGTCCTAGCCTTTTACTATAGCCGCCCTAATGAAATAACCAATTTTGATTACTTGTAGAAACTCTTGTTAGTGTTTCTTAATATAAAAACAAGCCAGTGCTATAATGCCTATGTTCTTAATTGTTTGTTCTTGTCTTGAGTGCTTTGGATCCAAGTTTGATGTTTATTTCTTGAAAACCTAAGCCTCCACCCTCCCTTTTCCCCTAGCACTTCTTATCTGGGCAGGCTGATGAGAAAGCCTGGAAAATTAGGGACTATGGACCTATTCCTTGCTGGGGACCTTCTCCTGTGAGCCACGCTGCCCTGTGTTATATTGTTGACACTGCTGGGCCTGGGTTGTATATGCAAGGTACTCCAAGTTGTAAGTTTTGAAAATTTGTTATGTTTTTAGAGCATGATTATGGAAATGGGGCCCTCCTTATAGTGGTTTTGAGTCAGTGTCTTGATTGGAATTTAGGTGTGTGTTTAGAGTGCAGTAATGACTGAAACTGACTTCTCTTCCTTCACACGAGGCTTTGTCTTGGGTCAGGTACTAGGATAATTATATCCTGTGAGATAAGTCTATCAAGATGGTCATTTCTTAAGAGGTGTTTTTTACTCCGTTTAAAAAAAACCACAACTTTAAAATTTTATCTTTTATTAAAGTGTATTTGAGGTACAATTACAATGACGTACATACATACATATATTATTTTCAGGTGTACAACATAGTGATTTGACATTTATACACCTTACATTGTGACAACCGCAATTAAGTCTAGCAACTGTCACCATACAATGTTATTATGATAATTACTGACTGTATTTCCTGTGCAATACATAACATCCCTCTGACTTACTTATTTTATAACTGGAAACCTGTACCTCTTATTTCTCTTTACCTTTCCACCCATCCCCCTTGTCCCCATTCCCTCTAGCAACTATCAGTTTGTTCTGTGTATCTATGCGTCTTTCTGTTTTGTTTGCTAATTTGTGTTTTGGTTTTGTTTTGAATTTCATGTTCATTATTTGCCTTTGTCTGTCTAACTTACTTCACTGAGCTTAATGCTGTCTAGGTCCTTCCATGTTTCTCAGATGGCAAGCTTTCATTCACTTTTTTATGGCTGAGCAATATTTCATTATATGTAAATACCAAATCTTCTTTATCCATTCATCTATCTTTGGACACCCAGGTGGCTTTCCTATCTTGGCTATTGTAAATAATGCTGTAATGAACATAGGGGTGCATATATTTTTTGAATTAGTGTTTTTGTTTTCTTCACATAAATACCTAGAATTGGAATTCCTTTCTCATATGGTAGTTCTATTTTTAATTTTTTGAGGAACCTCCACACTTTTCCATAGTGGCTACACCAGTTTATAGACCCACCCACAGTACATGAGGGTTTCCTTTTCTCTGCACCTTCACTAATACTTGCTATTTTTTGAATTTTTATAGTAGTCATTTGATAGGTGTTAGGTGATACCTCATTGTGGTTAATTAAATTAAGTCTTCACCACTTCCAAACTGGCTTTACAAAATTAGACTCCATGGTCCTTACCATTTAGTAATGTTAGTTAATATGACCCAGTGTAAGAATTGAAACTGTTATAAATAACCTTTTAGAAAGAAGTTATTATCTTCAGTTATACTTTGAACAGCTGAATTTTGCCTTTTTAAACCTGGAGAGAATGAATAACTTCCCACACTGCATTACTGAAACTTTGAGGTGTGTTCATACCAATAAACCTGCATTTCCAGTTCCCAGCATTATCAAAATTACTGATTCCGTCTATTCATTAACTGGTACATATTCTGCTATCAGAGATTTGGATAAGTCTGTTCTGCTCAGTGCCTATTTCAATAGCCATTTAGCACAGTTGGGCTTCACCTTGAAGGGTCATGATACACCTTTACCTGGTTACTCTCAGGGGACCTCAGTATTCCCCCTGCACACAGTCTCTGCAGGCGAGATATAAACTGCATTTATCTTGCTCTAGGAGAACACGTATAACATTACCTTAATGACATTCTCTTTTGCGGACATTCTTTTGACATTTAGGACACACATATATTGAAAAAGAGGTTACAAAAGGGAGATGAACCATTGCCTGAAATATATGAGGCCTTGGTACCTTGGTTACATTATTTTTTACAAGACAAAAAATTAAAGAAAATTGTTCAGTGGGTATGTAATAATCCAAGAGGCTAGATAGTTACATTGGGACTGCATTAGAAAATTTAAAAAAATGCTAAAGTAAATGTTACATATTATAATTATCTGATTCATCATTCTTTAAAGAGTCTTCATCATATTTCTTTGCACCTTCCTTTATATCTTTTGGGATAATTTTCTGTCTTCCTTTAGTTATTTCACCAGCCCCACTGAGCTCTGGTTCAGCTTTATCATTAACTTCATTAAGTATTATGTAAATTATTTTTGCAGCTTCTTTAACAATATCCTAACCACAGATGTTTCAGAGTATGTCCTTGTTAAGTGGCACGTAGCTAGCATTTTAGCTCATGACATTGTACAGAAGGATAAACAAAGGACTAAAACTGTGGTAAATATTACACAAGAAAAAACCAAAGCTTCTCCATAGAATATTTTTATTCAGCCACCTGCATCTGATTACTTGTAATGTCCTGGGAGACTTTAGTAAGATGTGGCCTGCTGCACCTTGCTAAAACTTGGATTACGAAGGGCCGCATGTATTCTCATGTTTGGTAATTGGAAAGCTTCTAGTGCTTTAGTACATTTTATTCATTGAATGCAGATTTGACATTCTGACTTAGGAGTGCTGTAAATTGGAAATAATAAGAAAGGAACTGAATGAATTTTTCTTACAAGGCATTGATGTTATTAAAATAATAATGTTTGTTTCATTTGTATAGATTTTTGTCATTTCTCAACATGCTTTGTACCCTGCTATTAGAGAAATAATGATGTAATGTGATCACAGTAAAAATGTGTAAACAATTTCTATGTGTTTATGATGGTGTTGAACTTATGAGGAAGTAAGTGCAGAAAGAATAAGTTTCTTTGATCAAGACATAAATGTTTGGAGATGATAGAATCATATGTAACCTTCTTATAAATGGATTATAGATGTTCAGGCTGTCAGTTTCACAAAATTTACTCTGCACATATATGGAGTGTTTTAGGACTCAGTGTCCTTTGAGGATGTGGCTGTGAACTTCACCGTGGAGGAGTGGGCTTTACTGGATCCTTCACAGAAGAAACTCTACAGAGATGTGATGCGGGAAACCTTCAGGAACCTGGCCTCCGTAGGTAAGGATGACAAGTTCCCTTCACGTGGTCAGGTAGAGCACAAGTGTTTTTACCCATCAACATTTTCTAAGATGTATAATTTGGGAAGGAAGGACATTGGCAAATAGTTACAGCTCATCATAGAAGTACTAATTTTGTAATAATTTCTAATACTTTGGAATTATTTTTCTGGGTCTGCTTCTTTAGGTAACAAATGGGAATATCATGACATTGAAGATCAGTACAAAAACCAGAAGAGAAAACGAAGGTGAGTCATACTCACAAGAGAAAGCAGTGTCTCATGTGAAAAACCAGCTATCATTGAAATTTTAAAAAGAAGCAACCAAAACAACCGCTTCTTTAAATGTTTAAATTTTCACCAAATTTCCTTCTTATATATGATATAAATGATCAGTGTTTGCAAAATAGATTAGGAAACAGCATTATTAAACCCTATATATGAATATCACTGTTTTATTAATAGCAAGGGTAAACTTGTCTTGCAGAGCCTTCAGTATATTACATTTTAAATAATTCAGGCAAAACAGAAAGTCTACACTTTCAGTGTAAATCATAATATAGTTCAAATATTTTACTTATAAATATAAAGTCACTAATAAAAAATCATTCATAATATGTTTCTTGTTTTTTACAGAAGTAATATGTTGGAGAGAATCTGTGAAGGGAAAAAGGTTAGTCAGTGTGGAGAAAACATCAGCCTTATTCCAAATTTCAGTCTGAAGAAGAAACCTCTTCCTGGAGAAAAACCATGTGAATGCAAAATTTTTGACAAAGTCTTCATGGATCATTCATCCCATAATAGGCACACCAGCTGTCACATTGGACAAATGTTCTCCGACTATCAAAAATGTGGAGAGAAGCCATATAAATGTAACATATGTGGGAGAGCCTTTAGTTATCTCCAGTGCTTTGAAAATCATGAAAGAACTCACAATGAAGAGAAACCCTATAAATGTAAGGAATGTGGGAAAACCTTCATGTGGCTTAAAATCCTTCAAAGACACATGATCAAACATACTGCAGATGCCCCTCATAAATGTAAAGTGTGTGGGAAAACCTTTAGTTCTTCAACTTCTCTTCAAACGTGTGAGAGAACCCACGCTGGAGAGAAGGCCTATCAATGTAAAAAATGTAGTAAAACATTCAGACATCCCAGTCAACTTCAAGTTCATGAACGAACTCACAGTGCAGAGAAACCATATGAATGTAGGGTATGTGGGAAGACCTTCAAATACTTCAAATCCCTAGAACCACACAAGATGACTCACACAGCAGAAAAACCCTATGAATGTAAGGAATGTGGAAGAGCATTCAGACATTACAGTTCCTTAGAAATACATAAAAGGTTTCACACTGGAGAGAAATCCTATGAATGTAAACATTGTGGTAAAGCCTTTAGTTATCACAGCTCCCTTAAAGGACACATGAAAATGCACACTGGAAATACGCCTTATCAATGTAAGGAATGTGGGAAAGTATTCACTCTTGTTAGGTCATATCGAAATCATGAAAGATATCACACTGGAGAGAAGACCTACCAATGTGCAAAGTGTAGTAAAGCATTCATGTATCCTAGTTGTCTTCGAAGACATGAAAGAACTCATACTGAAGAGAAACCCTATGAGTGCAGGATATGTGGGAAGACCTTCAAATATTTCAGATCCTTAGAACCACACAAAATGACTCACACGGGAGAAAAACCCTATGAATGTAAGGAATGTGGAAGAGCATTCAGATACTATAGCTCCTTAGAAATACACAGAAAGTTTCACACTGGAGAGAAATCCTATGAATGTAAACATTGTGGTAAAGCCTATAGTTATCCCAGCTCCCTTAAAGGACACATGAAAATGCACACTGGAAATACACCTTATCAGTGTAAGGAATGTGGGAAAGCATTCACTTGCCTTAGTTTGTTACAGAGACATGAAAGGACTCACACTGGAGAGAAACCCTATGAATGTAAACAATGTGGTAAAACCTATAAAGATCATAGTAACTTACAAACACATGAAAGAAATCATACTGGAGAGAAACCCTTTAAATGTAAGGAATGTAGAAAAGCCTTCAATTGTAACAAAAACCTTCAGTTACATGTGAAAAGGCACAATGGAAACAAACCATATAAATGTGAAGAATGTGGGAAAGCCTTTGTTGATGGCTCATCCTTACGAAGGCATAAGAGGATTCATGAATAAAACCTAGTGAATGTAAATAGTGTGGGAAAGACTTAAGTTATTCCTCATCTTTCTGGAGACATCAGAGGACTCACTGGAGAAAACCTCATGGATGCAAAGAATGGGGAAGATTTCAGTTGGCCCATATCTTTATATGTGAAAACTCCCACCAAAAGGAACAAAAATGTAAATAACCTGATAAGGCTTGATGGAAATTAATTTATGTATACTGTTCCAGAAAACTTTCAAGGTTAAGGAGTTTTTTTAAAAATTGTAAATAATTTTGTTTACCAAGTTTCTTTCTTAAAGTGTATTATTGGGATGTGGATGTCTATTTCTGTTGACCCTTGAACAACTCAGGGATTAAGGGTGCCAACCACCCACCTAGTCGAAGATCTTTTTTTTAATCCTCACTGAGGATATTTTTTCCATTGCTTTTCAGAGAGAGTGGAAGGGAGGGAGAGAGAGAGAGGAACATAGATGTGAGAGAGCAACATCGATTGGTTGAATCCCGCACATGCCCTGACCTGGGGCCGGGGATGGAGCCTGCAAATGATGTAGGTGCCCTTGGCGGGAATCAAACGCGGACCCTTCAGTCCACAGGCCAATGCTCTAACCACTGAGCAAAACCAGTTAGGGCAAGTAGTTGAAAATCTTTGTAGAACTTAAGCCAGTCCTCCATGTGGTTTTCCAACCACAAATTGAAATGACAGTTTACCTTGTTAAAACAAGTGTTTGAACTGCTGCTTAAAAGTGGATCCTTGCAGTTCAAACCTGTGGTGTTCAAGGGTCAACTGTAATTTCTTTTAGAAATGAATATTACAATGAGATAATTCTGGGACATGTCTTTTAATAATATCACATATAATTAATAACTGATGATTTTTTATTAAGTCAATAATATTGTCTATTAACTTTTTGAAGCCTGTTAGATCCAAAGTGTGTGAATTCCAATGTATTTCTAATTTGGAAATAGGTTATTTTTTTAATGATGTTTTATTTGTGTTAAGGTGGCATTAAAAAGTTACAATTCAGTATTCTTTTATTTTGGTACTTGGATTTTTTTACNTTTATTTTGGTATTTGGATTTTTTTACTGGCCCTGTGAAATTTGATGGATACTCCTAGTGCATTTTATATATATATATTACGNAATTCCAATGTATTTCTAATTTGGAAATAGGTTATTTTTTTAATGATGTTTTATTTGTGTTAAGGTGGCATTAAAAAGTTACAATTCAGTATTCTTTTATTTTGGTATTTGGATTTTTTTACTGGCCCTGTGAAATTTGATGGATACTCCTAGTGCATTTTATATATATATTACATATATATCATATATCCCTTTATTACTGACAGTGCTTTTTTTGGGGGGTGATGGATATAACAGTTTTTTCCGCCATGTTCCTTAGCAATAAACAGAGTAGATATTTATGTGTGTCAATTTTATGAAAGATACGTTTCCATGTGGATTGTTTTTTTATTACTTGATCTCGTGCTTTTTCCCCTCTGACTGTCATGTTAGATGTATTTTAAGAGGAGAGACCTGTGATATAACCAAAAATCTATCTTTGGAGATATCCCTTTGTAAGTAATGTTAGGAATTAGATTTTCCAGGACTTACATTCTCTGAGATTCCATAATAGACTCTACCAGTAGCCTCACTTGCATGAGCTATGGAAGGCATACGCCAAAAAGGTTTAGTCAGATTGTGGAGCCACCATTTAAGGAGACAGAATGATCCATAGGGACTTTAACATAGGACACCATTTTTCAGCTCACTTTTTGGATTCTTTTCTTTTCCAGTCAAGAGAATCTTCAAAATAACTATGATCTGTTTGATTTCCGTTTTCTAAGAGGTGTAGTTTTCCAGTGATTTCTTCATAAGATTCACATCAAAGATCCATCAGAGTGGCTTTTTCTGTAAGCTGTCTTTTGTTCACCAGTAAACTAGTTTAGCTTTTCACGCATGGGACTGTTGTCTGATTCTTTTCTTCTCAAGGTTCTATCTCTGTAAGATCTGCTTTGTATAGGAAACATCTTATGCTGTTAAGAGTGCTGGAGAGTGTGTTTTGTTGATTCGCCATGTCATTTACAATGGTGCACTGAAGAAAAAAACATGGAGTTCCTTCTCTACTGCAGTGTGCAGTGGTTGGCTTGACCTGGTCTTTCAATGGGACAGTAAGCACCTTCCTCCTGTCAGGAATACTGGGTATTTTCTGTTACTTTTAGGTGAATGTAATCCCTCAGAATGTTTTCATTTATATTTTATTGCATGTAATTAAAACTGTGTGCATTTCCTTCAACAAACACTTCTGCAGTCATTTCATACAGACATATTATTAACTGTGTTTTAAGTAGTAGAATGCTAACAAATATTCTGTTAGAGTGTGTGATTCCTATTCAAGGAAACTAGCCCTTTTTTTATATTGATTGCTGTGAAGAGGTAAACTGTATCCTGTCATTACCATTCATAATGTTTGTTTTCTGGAAGTTAAAAACAATACGGTGGAGCTAACCTTAGTTTGTAAGAAGCTCCAGTCAGTGATACTGATATGAAGAGGGGAATAGTGGTCATTGTTATGATTTGGAACTACTTTTTACCATTTTTAGGGATATGGTTATGAAATGTCATGGTTTTGAATGTCATGTTCCCCCTTACTGATAATGCCTTTTGGGGGTGATGGGTGTAAGTTTCTTTTTGAGGGGCCAGGCCTGAGGGAGGCCCGCCTGCCTCAGCGCTGAGCAGGGGCTGCCTTCCCCGGGGGGCCTGCTGTAGCACGGGCGTAGGGTGCGCCAGCCTCCCCCGGGAGTGGAACCTGGGACTCCGCTCACGTGTGAGGCGAGCTGTCGGAGACTAGACAAAGGTTGAACTTGAGATCTGACAAGGTGGCCAGGCTGCCCCGCAGCACCATCAGGGAAACCCAGCGTCTGCTGGCAGAACCTGTTCCCGGTATTAAAGCACATCTGGGCCCTGGCTGGTGTGGCTCAGTTGGCTAGGTGTCCTCCTGTGCACCGAGGCTGCCTGCTCCGTTCAGGTCAGGGCACATTCCTGGGCTGCAGGCTTGATCCCCAGCAGGGGGCTTTAGGAGACAGCCTATGGATGTTTCTCTCTCCCTCTCCCTTTCCGAAGTCAATAAAAACATTTTAAAAAACTGTGTTATTCTTAAAAAAAATAATAATCAAAATAAAAATGCAAACCATGTTCTAAACATCTACAGCACACTGTAGATTCAAAGGTAGAAATAGATAAAAAGTAAAAACATGGGAAAGATACATGTGTAAACAGCACCAAGATAAGTGGAGAGGTGATAAAAATATCTAGCAAAATATACTTACAACCAAAAATATTACTAGAGATTGTGAAGGACATATCACGCCTAAAGTGTCAAGGTTTATAACTTGCATTTAAAACAGAACATATAAAAATATTTATAGCCATTAATGCTTATACTAGCCAAGAAGAAAGATCTCAAGTCAGTAACCTAACCTTGCAACCTTTAAAGGGTGAGGTACCAAATCCAAAGCAAGGAGAAAACAAAATAAAAATGAGAGCAGAAATTAGTAAGATGTGGAATAGAAAATCAATGAAATAAAAAATGAATTTTTTAATGGAAAAACTAACAAAATGAACTAATCTTTAGCCAGGTTGATCTATAGAAAAGGGGGAAAGATTCAAATTCATACAATTTAAAAGAAAGGAATATGACTACCAACATAAAAATAACAATAATAAAGGAGCTGGGTGAAACTGGTGAAGGGATTAAGAAAACAAAAACAAAAGCAGCAGCCTGGCCAGTGTGTCTCAGTGGTTGAGCACCATCCCATGCACCAAAGGGTTGCTGGTTTGATTCTCAGGGAACATGCCTAGGTTGTGGTCCCTGGTCCTTGTGCATGTGGGCGGTGACTGATGGTTCTCTCTCACATTGATGTTTCTCTCCCTTCCTCTCTAAAATCAATAAAAACATTAAAAACAAAAACCTCAGACACAGACACCAGTATGTTGATTACCAGAGGGAAGGGGGGAGGTAGAAGAGGGTATAGGGTAAATGGTGATGGAAGGAGACTTGACTTGGGGTGGTGAACACACAATACAATATACAGATGATGTATTACAGAATTGTACACCTGAAACAATTTTAGTAACCGGTGTCCCCCCAATAAATTCAATAAAAAAGTAAAATAAAAAAGCAAAAACTTAATAATAAAGGAAATCAGTGAACATTTGTATCAATATAGGTAACTCGGATAAAGGGAATAAATTTTTAAAACAAAAACTAGCTCGGAAGAAGTAGAAAATCTGAAAAGAACTATAAGTGAAGTGGTTGAATTAATAAAAACACAAGTAATCATAGGCTTAACTGACTGAATTGACAAAACCCAATAGTTTCATAATTAAAGCACTCAGCATATCAGGAATAGAAGAGAACTTCCTTACCTCATAATAAGTATCTATGGACCACCCACAGCTAATATTATATTTAATAGTAAAAGACTGGAATACTTTCCCCTGAGGTAGGAAACCAAAGAAGAATGTCTGCACTGCCCACCTCTATTCTAGAATGTACTCGAGATTCTAGCCAAAACTATTATGCAAAAAAAGGAAATAAAATTCATGCAGATAGTTAGAAAGATGTAAAATGCTCTCTACTTCCAGATGAAACATCTAGTGTAGTGGTTCCCAGTATGTCCCCCTAAATATGGCATGTGGGCATATGATTATTTTGAATTAATCATAAGTAATTCAAAGAGCTGGTGAAAGTAGGTGCCGGGGCTAAAAAATATTAATACTTTTCCTCCAATCTTCTAAGTTCTTCTATGCTGGGCTAATAACCAAATTAACAGGAGAAAATCAAAGTAATAGGTGTGCATGGGGAATTAACATAGGCATGAAAATTCCAAAGACAGTGAAGCGATATTGGGTATGTAAGATATTTTTGGACAAAAATGGGGAAATTGGGGATTAAATTTCAGAAGTGAGACTGGTGGATTTACAGGTCATTGAGGAAGAGCAGAACACACAGGGCAAGGAAATCCTTGCTGGGTAACTCAGAAACAATGAGACACAGGGTATCTAGATAACAGGCCCTCTTGTTTACCATACTCAACTCAAATTACGCTAAGGCAGTGTTCTAAGACTTTCTTGAACAAAGTTTCTCAGTCTGAATCTTGGGCAGGAAAGTGGAAGAGTCAAAGGTTCTTTCCGAGTCTTGTTTCTTAATAAACAGCTTAAAGTCAATATCCCAAAAAGCAGCTTTAGGGTGGCAGAAGTTTGGTCTCCTCCATAGATTTATTGAGAGACAATTTCTCTCCCTAAAATGACCCCGTTTTTCTCAGTCATATTAAAATGATTCACTGCATAAGTCTAGTCTCAATAAATTTGGCCAGATTATTTGCACAAACACAACAAGAATAGCAATTGGTTATATAAACTTTCTTAAATTTGCTTTGCTGGAACTTCATG